GTACTTTCTGGTGCACTCATTTTAACATAGACACACGCACACAGACACCTCACACCAATGACCTGCACCACATCTGGAAACAATTACGCTCATGTTTGACTTGACCTGCTTGCACCATGTGAACTCTGCCAACTTTTTTTTTTATGTGTTTGTTGCCGAGGCAGTGGGTGACCCTGACACGGGGGGCGGTGGGGAAATGATGTGTAATTAGTCAGAGGGAACACGACTCCGCTCGTCTGAAATAAAACATCTTGTATTCACATCAAAAGAATCAGCACCTTGACAGGCCGGACAAAAAAAAAAGCGAGACTTGATATGCTATCAAATGACCCACACTGGAATTTGTGAGGACACGAGGAGCATCTGAATTATCAAACATCTCAGGGAAGCACAGCAGACCTTTCATGTGCGGATGGCAGAGCAGACAGCGGATGATGCAATGTTTGATTTCTGCACTTCATGAGGCTTTCAGGACAGCACGTACAATATTAAACAGTGTCGTGTCGGTGTATCAACCAGTCTAAATTAACCCATTAGTATGCTATGGGGAGAAGCGGCGAGATCAATGCATGAAACAGTTTGGAAATCTCCTTTGATACAAGATTTCCCAGCTTGAGCGAATTGATGAAATTCCTCTTGAAACGCAGGCAACCATTTCACACGCCAGACTTTTCTCAAGACAGAGAGGAGTGTAGCCTGTCCTTTAACACAGCGACGCTACATTACTGCATCATTCACTGGAGCATTTTGAAGCTGTTGTCGAAGCCTTAAACGCAGCTCGCGTATTCAAACAAAGATTAATAACGTCAGACCGTGTAGAAACGTCCGTTTAATTCAATGAATAATGAGCTCTGATCAATAGTGAGCACTCTTTGTATCAACACCACAAAACTGCAAAGTAACTGACTGACGTAATCCATCCAAATAAAATCCCTGCACAATAACATACTGTAAAACTGCAAACAAGGACACCTCTCTTTCGGGTAATAGCCATTCTGCAATATTCAGTATTTTTTTATGAGACGAGACCAAATCAGATTAAGAAGCTGAAGTAGCTTGGGACTGAATCAGTGCAGCTCTTGGCCGTGCATACCAAGATACCGGCTAAGGCACAAGGGGATGGGTGATTGGGTTCAAATCCTCATGTGAACTTTAACCACAGTGCATTCCTATTGATTTCAGCAAACATTGCAAGGTGAGAAGGTGGGTCCTCAAGGTAAGAAAAGGCCACAGGGCAAAAAAAAAAAAAAAAGAACTATGACAGTGCAAAAATCCTCAAAAAAGTGATGCAAGTACATTTCACAAGACTGATAAAAACAGTTTGAACCATGCAGAGGTGCTGACTTATGACATGAAATTTGGAGGGAAATTTTGAAAGAGTCTACAGGTTAGTTCCAATGTTCGGATTTGAGTTTCCAGGCCTTGAGATTGATTTATATGCACTGATTGACATAGCGCTGTGCTGGTTTAACACCACTTCCCTGTCCTAGAACTACCTCCTTGTCTCAGGGCCCAGGTTTAGCTCTCATATCCTGGGCTGACCGCTTACTCCAATTATCAAGCTAATAAGGGCCCCCCTTGTGCAGTTATGAGAAGGGGGAGGAGAGTGGGTCCAGGACAAAGGGGGTCCCACTTCGGTAAGTGTGTTATAGCTGCCACCCACATTTGTAAGGTGTGACTCAGACTGTGTTTCCAAAACACTTGGGCTTAGATGTTATTGAATCTCAGGAAACATTACTTAGGTTTTGTCAAAATGAGCGGTGGAAAGCAAAAACATAAGGAAATCTAGAATCAACTATTAGAATTGATTTAAACAAAAAAAAAAAAACAATGTGCAAAAAAAAAAAAAGATTCGGAAAGAAGATATTAAGTAGAAAACTTTGGCTTACCTGTGCTGCTCCACAGCTTCGTTATCTGGCAGCTCTGCACCGCAAACATTGCAACGTTCGTGCTGGTTCCTGCCGTCTGGTTTCATGCCCACTGCCAGCTCCCCGAGCTTGCTGAAGAATTCTCTCTGGATGAAGCTCTGAGGCAGGAGGCCCCCGTAGGCACTGAAGTCCATAGACATAGCCAGGGCTGGGGACATGGGGAGAGCGGAGGCCATGGACGCCGGCATGGACATGATGGCATCTGATTTGTGATTGACAGGTAGGGCGTACAGCGAGGCCAGATGTTTCTCTGTCATTCCAGCCATCGCCTCCAACCCCATCTGACTGACTTCAGCTTGATGGTCGCCCATGCCATCATCGCGGACGTAGTGCAGCTCGCGGGCACTGGTGATCACGCTGCTCCTGGTCGGTGTGCCGGGACCATCTCGGTTCCTGTCCTCCCCGCTGCGCTCTCCATTGCTGGAGGCGCTGGACTCCATGTTCTGAGGGCTGTCATTGCCACCCATGTCCACTTGCATCATTTCAGTCTTGATCTCAGTCATCAGGTGGTGGGAGTTGCCATGGACGAGTTGTTCGGCACCAAAGCCCTGCTGAAGCAGAGACTGGCCGATGCTCATCAGGCTGTCCACAGCAGCTTTGGTGGGACTCAGGGTGGAGACGCTGAAGGAGGTGGACACCGAGGGACTCTGGTCCACCATCCCAGACATGGAGACTTGCTGGGCACCTGACAGATAGGGGCTCACCATGGAATGCTGTTTTGAGTTCTTGGCTCCGTTGTGGCCTTTGCGCTCTTCATCCTCCTCTGTGCTTCCGTCATTAGCATTTACCTCGACGTCGTTCTCATCCGAGGACTGGATCGTTTCCAGGATCTTGAGACATTGCTCTTCCAAATACTCAATCTCCAGGATCTCCGCTGCATACAGGAGGTCATCCAAGTCCTCCACCTTGGCCTGTAGCGTGGCAGTGTAAGCATACTCCAAAATCTGCTGAAAAGTCTTTGGTGAAAGAAAGTCCAGGGTGTAATGCTGGCTGTTGCGGTGGAAGAGGATCTCGAACATTTTGCTGGTGCAGGCTAGCACAGTCCGGTGAGCGTGGAACTCCTGACTGTCTACCATGATGACCACGTCACACAGAGTCCCGGCCAGACGCATCTGGTTGGCCTTCTGCAGCAGGGCAGTGGGGTGGTTGGGGTTCTGGAGCTGGATCATACCCATTTTAGTTAAATCCATTATGTCGATGCAATCCACGAGGCCGACTCATGAGGCTCGCCTTCCCCGCTCAGCAGTGTTTTAAGCTATCTTTGTAAACAAGATGAATCCTGAGTGGAGACAGAATGAAAAAGAAAATCAGCAAACGTTTTTCACACCAAAGATCTTAAAGACTTTGAAATCCAACAAATGCTCTTTTCTTTTTTTGGTCCAAAAAAAATGTAACAAATATATTTAATTCAACTAACTATTCTCCGTCTGCTTCACAAAAGAACTCGACAATTAAATGTTGACAAAGAAAATTTAATTAATTTGTCAATAAATTCACCATTTTGTAAAATGGAAAATGTGAAATCAGTGGAGTTGCAAATTGCAAACATCCTGCAGGGAAGGTAAACGCTCAGCGCAGAGGCATTGTTCTTAAAATCAGTGAATAGTATTGACTGTATATATCTAAGGGGAGGCAAATTGTGTGCCGTCCAACAGGCTCGCCCGTGCATACCAATCAGTCCAACATATGCCATCTTAAAAAGACGTCTTCATTCGGTTATCTGATGGGGACGTACACCAGTTAAACAAGTGGGAATTGTGGGTTTTTATTTTCTTCTTTCATTGCTGCTCAGGCTCACAAAGACCGTCAGCAGCCTTTCTGAAATTAAATAGCATCTTACTCAGTATTCCCATCACAGACAGGGGGGGGGGGCAGAGAGCAGCAGCCAGAAATGGGTGGAAAGGAAAGCAGGATGAGGCGAAAGCAACACACACACACACACACACACACACACACACACACTGCCTCTGCTCACAGTCACTAATGTCCAAAATCCCAAATGATTTGTCTCTGTGACAGTTGTTAACTTGATTATTCGAGTCAACAGGGCGAAGTGTTGCTCCGGCACACATCACACTTTGACCTACGCTGAAATAACAAAGGCTTACAATTAATTGGTTTATGTGGATTTTTAAAGGAATGATCATCTCAGCGTTACCAGAAAACGTGTTTGTCCACTTGATATTGTGACATACAATCCTAATAACCAAGCTTTGGAGAACATGTATTATAATTGCACGAATGAGTGACTAAAAGCCAAGTGCCTCCATTGACCCACATTCTGAATGAGATTATTGAGGGACACCTTTTGTCTCCTCAATTAAGTCAATATGTCCAGTCTACTCGTTTCAGTTTTTCTGTTAGGAATCTTCATTCATTATCATTTTACATTTGCCAAAAAGTTTTATTATATTTTCAACAATTAACAGAAGGAGAAGTTAATGAATACTTGTTTTCCTTCCTCAACAGAGGCACAGAGAGAGAAAGAGGAAATATCAGCCTTGCAACAAGAGGATGACTGTTTTAAAAAAAATAAAATAATATATCACTTCAAACAATCACACAAGTCCAAACCAGAGACGTTAGGTGTAAATTGGCTATTATTTGCGAGAATAAATAATCCTGTTGGGTCACTGGACAGTTTGTCTTTTCGGCACATTGACGAGATCGATATGTGGAAGGTAATGATGAAACCCCGGGTTCTCATTCAACTCTGCAGCCTCTCAGTCAACAGAGGTCATACCCACAACCAGACATTATCTTTATTACAGGTGGGCCAATATAGCTGCGATTTATGGCCCCGTCAATGATCAATGCTTGTTGCGCTCTGCAGGTCTGTGAGTGCAGGTTCCACCGGGACTACGATGCAAAGTTGCATGTTTGGGTACTTAATCATAAAAAGGCACATGGAGCTGCATGCGCGCGTCTAGACAGTGTTAATATTGGCCAGACGCACCAGACAAATGATACACAGCGTTATGCATTATGCAAAACATCACGCTCTACATTAAGTACATTAAGGCAGGAGAGATCCTCTCCCCGGAGGACAATGCAGACCGCTGACAATAACCACATTAGGCCGACTTCACAGAGAGGCAGCATAATCAATCTGATCACGAGTTGTCTGCCATAGCGCGCCTTGGAGACCCAGCCACAACAAGAATAAACAGCGTTCAATATTCCAGACCATGAGCCACACTGACAACACGCGGATGTGGGGAGAAGCGGCGAAAAAACATGGCACAACCGTTTCTGAGGAAGGAACACAACAGACACACAAAACAAAGTATCCACGCTGATTTAAACGCTTCAATGTGAGGAACGCACAGGTGGACTTTGTTTCAGGCGAATCGTGGCTGCGCACAATCACGCAGAGAGGTGCCTGAAGGATACACAGAGAAAAGTGAAAGGGGAGGAAGATCAGACAGTCTCGATAACAAATCAATTTGCCAATCCCCACCTCACAATGTGCTGCTGCGCATGCGACCCCGAGACGATTATTGGTAACCGATCAAACCTCCAGGTCCCTGTCAGTCAGTCAATCAATCAACCAACCAATCAATCAATCTCGGTGTGTGTGACTGTACAGTGACTGGATTCGGGTTTGTCTCGCGTGTAGGGACCAATGTCTCCGGTCCTCACCGTGATGTCATCACGGCTAAATGAGCCACACTGGTGCGTCTGGAGGCACAAGGACGCGCAGGCTGGTGTCTACAAAGAAAAATGCGTAATTTCCATCAAAACGAGCGAACGCGATTTCTCCGGTAGAGTCACATGGAGCGAGGCGTCATGTGTCGTCTGGCTCCCGGTGAAAGAGCCCAGACCTCACGTCCTCTGGCTGCGATCTCCAGCATACTAACACCACACCGAGAGAGAGAGAGAGAGAGGAGAGAGAGAGGTAGGTGAGGAAGGAGGGGGGGTTGCGTCAACCTTAACATCTCTACAATCGGCTACCGTGCGTAAATGCAAACTTCCAACACCTTGCAGCGGCGGCAATCAGGTAAACACTTGTTTCCACCGAGCGCTCCGGTGCGCGGATCCAACTTGCGTGCCAAAGTCGCGTTTGCTGCTAACTTCAGCGTGAGGTTGAACGAGGACAAGCGAAACAGGAGGGGGAAAAGAAGCGCTGGATACACGCATCCAAACATCCATATGGTGAATGAAAGTGCGCAGAGAAAACAGTGGCACACGCATGCAGAGTGGCGGCGGCGGCGGCGGCGCTTTGGCACTTGTCGCCGGGGGGAACCGCAGCTCCGCTTCAGCCCCGGTGTGGTACTCACCCAAGTTGCGCGTTTTGACTCCGTCTAGTGAAGCGGGATTGGGGCTACAGCATAGTAAAGGCAGTTCGCAGTACCCGCTCTCTCAACACGCACTAACTCCTTTCTTCTCTCGCCTTAGCAAATCATCACGGCGCTGACGTCAACGCAGCCAGTCAGCCAGACGAGCAGCCGGCTCTGCGCTCCAGCCCATACAAACACTGAGAAAGTGAGACACCTAGGGGGCTGTCTCATGTCAAACGGCTGCCTCACAGGCGGCTGTGGAAAGGTGAGCCCCCCCCCCTCTTCATCTCCCTCCAGCTGTTTGAATGCACATGTTATTCCCCCCCAAACTCCAGCCATGCAGGGGCACACATCATAGTTTGACGGTCCTATTGTGGGGGGGTTGAGTGAAAGTAGGAGAAGGGGGCCACCGACGCCGAAACCCATTTTCAATTGAGTCAACATGTTTGAATGGAAGCACAGATATGAGTTCAAGTGTTCGTCTTCATTTTTATTTAACACCTGAATAAATACATTTTGAAAATGTTTTTGAATAATCAAAATAAAGTCGTGCAGAAACATGACAGTGGCAGATTATAGGCCCCGAAATCATGTAATAAGATCCTTCCACACTAAATTACACTTTTGCTTTTTATACCATATAGTGAACGTTGTGTTGTCTCTTTTCTCTTTGAATCAACAAGTTCTAATTTCAAACTACTACCTCTGCTTTATTTTTTTAATCTGCCAAAAGTAAAGTAAAGGATTATCTAAAGCTTTATTTGTCTCTATTTTTCTTAATTTTCTTTTAAAAAATGAACAGGAGACGTTTCTGAACGCTTCTTTTCCTTCTCCTCAGCCAGAGAACAAAAGAGGCACAGAGAGGAAGTATCAGCCTTGCAACAAGAAGATGACTTTTACAACAGATATGTAAATACTGTATATATCGCTTATATTTAAGGTCAAAGTTCACCAGAGTTGAGCGACGTGCTTTGCCACAGGGAGCAAATGTGCATCGATTGAAAGTGAACAGAACGTTTGCCACCGATTCGCAAACGTGCGACTGTGCCCTCGTGTTTCAGAAAACAAGGCCTGCAGTGGCCGGACGATAGCATGAACACATCATGCAACATAAGACTGGTAACATGTAGAAAATCACACACATGCATACACACATTTAATGTAACTTAAGATGCGGGATTTCATTCTAACAACATGCAGCTGCATCTGTGAAAACATATTTAGGCCTTGAGGGTTGCGGTGTTTTCAAATTGTACTTAATTTTAAAGGAACAAATAATCAAGGATGTGGTGAAATTGTGTATTTCAAGTATTTTCTAATATCAGGTGAAAATATTGAAAGTAATTCAAAGAGAAAAAACATGAAATAAAAAGGCTGTTTCATAAAAAATACATCCTCAGAGTTCAGTTCCAGAGTTCAGTTTCTTTCAGTCTGATCAGTTTGGTTTTAACAGCCCTTGATTGTCAGCATCAGTCTAAATCTCCACTTACTTTCTTCTGTTGACCAATCACCATGAAAGTAGCAGACGGTACACCTCATAATTGTTTGGCCTGAAATCAGTCTTTGAGTCGTTTCTTCTAAAAGCAAACTTTAGGACTTGATTCATGTTTTGCCTTAATGATGATCACCAGCATGAGGCAATTTTTCTTTCTCCGATGCTTTAATTTCACTATATTTTATTTCTGGCGTCATGTTGCCTTTAAGTGCTTTTACTTTCCTGAAGTACAAATTGTCCAGAATTAAGAAGAACGAGGGGAATGTGAGCATAATGTTGAGTAAATTGATTTATCACACATTCATTTGTGGAGACAGCGATTTCTCTACAAATACACCCAACCGAAGATTTCTAGGTTCTTAAAGGGAGTAGCTATGCCAGATGGTGCGAGACGAACAGTTTGCGACACACCGAGATGTTCCTCATCATGCAGGATGATGAAAAGTCACCTTTGTGGCCTCGGGCTCACATCAACACTCGGCGGACTGGGGCTGATAAACTGGAAGCGATGGGCAGGTCAGAGGGAGGCAGGGGTCGCCCAGCGTCTGCAACAGATCAGTCAACGTGTTCCATCCATCAGCAGTGTTTGACAGAAGACCTACACTCGTGTTCCCAGTGTGACAACATGAGAACGCCACAAATTAATATTAGCAAATGACCATAAGTGTCTCGTAGCGCAGAAATAAAATCTGCTCTGCAGTGTTCTTCACTGTGTTCAAGAACTACCAACCTCCCTCTGACTGACAGTCTGAACTACATGTCGGACGTGACGTTACACAGTTCAGGTACTTGAAAGTAAGCTTCTCTCAGCTACAGCAGACAGAGACATTCTTCATTTTGATTTCTGAAAGTGATTCTCACTGTGAGTTTTGTTTCTCTCAGTGACTTAAGTGAGAACCTCCGTCTTGTCTGTCTTTTCTCCTCATGTGTAAAACCGACGATGAGACCGTCAGTGCCTCTGGGGAGACGCAGTTCGATTGTTTGCGTTGAGACTTCAAAGACGCTGCAAAGAATTCCTGTGCAACGATTGTGGAAGATGCAGCTCAAACACTTTAACCTCTGGTTGACCAACAGGATTTACTTGTATAATTGTACATTTGAAGCATTGAAAGACTTAAATTCCATTATTCCTCATCACAAACGTCATATCGTTTTATAAAATTACACATTTTTATGTTAAGATCTAAACATTGTTGTATCTAGTTTTGGAAAACAATGTTGTGGTTTGCACTGATGTATCTTATTTTCTTAAGAGACTGTTTGTATTTTTTATTTTCGATGTAAAAATTGTCGTCATCGTAGAGTCACAAGTAAAATTTAAATGTCATTACTTATTAGGAATAAATTAAACATTTAACAAGATCTAAAATGATTCTCACCCTGTGTCAGTAAATATCTCTGTATGTGCAAATCTGTAACTTTGACTAATAATGAGCATCATTCTAAAAGTATCTTATATTTTGAAATACTAATAATCAATTAGGTTCTTGAATATTTTTATTTATTTCCCTCTGCTGCAGCTGGAATCCTCTAATCACCAGATTATTTTGTAGTCAGGTTACCTTGGTGAAATCAAAGATCTTGGTGTGGGAATGAAAAATAAGTAAAAACCTTTTCCACTTTAGAGGACTGGTAATAATTAATTCAAACAAAGGAATGTTTTAAAATGTGTCTGGATTTAGTTTCAGTTCTGAAAACTTGTTTGTTTTCCAAGTTCTAACAAAAGAGCATCAAAGCACTATTCCCTGGCAAAGATAACATCAATTTAAAAAACCTGTCGTCCTGTTTATTCTTCTTTTTGAAATTGCAACAGGTCGGGTTGTTGCAGCCGGTTGTTCGTGCTCACACAGTTTATTGCTGCGCTCAAAATGGAAAGCACAGGTTTGACGGGGGCTCTCATCTCATTTCCTATAAAATACACTGGTGCTCTGGGAATTTTTGGATTCATCCGGGCACGGATCACAGAGTGCTTCATTACCTTTGAGCTGCGTGCTGTGCAGGCTTACCCAGGGATAAAGAAAAAGGCACTCCCTTAATCTGGCAATAATCCACCGTTTTACTGAGGGAAAGGAAGATGAGGGCTAAATTATGAAAACCAGATCATCGCTGCACTTTAAAATAATACCAAGAGTTAGAAAACGACGGGCTGCCCGAAAGTTTTTGGTTAGTAGCTGCGGTTAGAAATGAGTCACAGAGGAGGGCTCCAGCTTTCATCACGGGCATCATCTATAAAGACACACGAGTAATTCCACATTTCCCATAAAAAATTTAATATGCACAATTAGGAGTAATAACAAATGAGCGAGAGTCGGATTTATCTGTGCAGCCGCTGAACTTTCGCTCTCAACAGGTGACCTCCCGCTAACTTTATATGCTAATTATCCTTTTTGATCCAGAGAGTATTCACGACGTGATTCGGTCAACACAGACATAGATACTGAAAATAATCAGTGCGTTAAGATCTGGAAAATCAAACTAATGAAGACATGTGTTATCCCTCTGTGCCTTCGACCGACTAGACAGTAAATTATAATATTGAATTTGGTCAACATGTCCCCTGCTCCTGTGACTGCTCACTAAAGCGCTGAATGTATATTAATTCGCCTCTGAAAATAGTCCCCCTAAATGTTTACTTGTTTGGCGTTTGCAACTGTTCTGGGAAAGTAATGAGTCTTTAAATCAAAATGAAACTGTACGTGACCTGTTTTTAAAGATCTAAATATTTAGTAGGAATGAACCGGCCTGGAGCTGAGAGCTGACGCGAAGGAAATATGAAACCTTTTAAACCTTTCTTGTGTTTTTCAGATTGTTTTTTTTCTTCAATAGTGAGCTTTGGCATTATTTGCATTGTTTGACGTTTTTTCTTTAACCATTTGTTTCATGCATCATTTAAACCGTTTCCACTGTGTTGTTGTCTTGTTCCATGGATATTCATTCCTCTGTTCTCCTGCACAGTGTTCAGACGATCACAGCGATACATAAATGAAGGTCGGGATTAAAAACAGAAAGAGAAAAGGAATTTGTTGATCCACTCCGGTTAAAGTAAAAACAAAAACTTAGTTGAACAGGCAAACCAGAAACCCCCCCTATTGTCTGTGTCCTGTAGGCATGGTGCATCGAGGAGGTGTGTGTGTGTGTGTGTGTGTGTGTGTGTGTGTGTTGGGGGAGTATAGGCCCCACACAGTGGACCTTTGTGAAACTCTGCCCATGCAGCCAGACTGAATGGACTCTTTTTACACTTGTGTAAACCTGGGGGCGTCTCCGGCACTGAGG